GATGCCATCACCAGCATACTTCATGTCAATGTACAAAGTAAAATGTTCTCACCGCCTCTCCGACTAAATTTTACATTCAGAAATGCCCCTCGACCCTCCCCCCCCCCCCAACAATCAATAGATGACTGGACACGAGGTTCGGCCAAGATACAGATCTACTGAGTGCACATACCTTTTGCGAGATTAGTGGTCAGTGGATGAGTGATGCCCATGCAGGTCCCGTCACCGCTTCCTGTCAGCGGGTGCGGGGAAACAGCGATTGACGCGCGGTTTCTACAGCACATCAACATTGACATGTTGCCTACACACTTACCCTGGCTGACAGCCTACAAACTCAGTTCGCTGACAGCACGCAATGCAATGTACAACAAGTGCCCGTGCTCCGATGAAAGATATCGCATCGGATAAGACCGACAGAATAAGAATACAATTGGAAGCTATGGCCATGGACCTATTGATAACAGTTATCAATAGGTGCGATGGTGGGACCCATGGAAGGCTAAGCAAGGTGATAGTTACTATCACCTTGCTTAGCCTTCCATGGGTCCCACCATCACACCATCCCCTCACTTTCCTACTATAAAAGGAGGACAGAGACGCAGAGAAAGTCAAACACTTCTACAGCCCCTACAGGTTTCTGAGAGCTAAACAAGTCGAAGAGCCCTTCCTCAAGTAAATCTTCCAAGATGAAGAACGTTGCAATGTTGCTAATGGCTGCCCTTCTACTGGGCCAGGTCGTGATGCCCGTGTTTAGCAGAAGTATCAAGAACTTGCATCTAAGATCTGATGGAGACGACATGAATATGGATAACGACAGCAGCGATTCCAACAGTGACGACAGTGGCAACAGTGGCAACAGTGGCGACAGCAGTGACGACAGTGGCGACAGTAACGTTAGCGACAGTAACGATAGTGCGAGTGATGACGACAGCAGTGACAACTCCGGAATGGGAAGCGACGATAGCGACAGCGCCAACAGTGAAGACGCGAGCAATTCAGATGATTCAAGCACCGATGGAACGATGGCCAGGGGTAACGTGCGGATTGCACCAGCAGAGCTCATGCTACCTACCGACTTTCTAGTGCTGACGACTGAACCGGACAAGGACAAGGCCGATGAAACCACAGCACCCCCCACCGGATAGACAAGAGTCACGTTCACTGCCACAGTACCACTCCACACCAGTGGCGCGCCCTCTTCCCATCAATCGCTTGATGATCAGTGAATTCTGTCTACTACCCCATCGCCAGCATCTCGATTGAGCATCGTTTCACCCGACGTGCATTCGTCTCTAAGACCACAGCACCACTGTAAGACTCTAAACTCCCTCAGACTCTTGTTCACGATGGTAAAAAACGCAGTAATAGGGTCAAGCAATACCTGCATTGTAATACGTAATGTCTCCCGTAAATGATCGATTAATCTCTGAATGTCACGGTAAGATTGACGTAGGAATAGGTATGCGCTCAACATAGAATGATAATAGCACGGTGAAGTATTTTCTGCAAACGTTTTACCTTCTAACTGTTAACTCCCTCAAACTGATGACTAGAATAAAGATGATCGCACTGTTAGTTTTACCAACCGTAAACACATGCCTCACGCGTGTGCTTGATTTACTGCCGCTTTGGTCACGAATAGTATCATGCTATCTATAGCTAACTAAAATGATTGGCACAAGTAACGTAACGTAACGTATCGCAAGGCACCTAAAGCCGTAACAGCTAACCCTGTCGTTCGATTTTCATTCCACGAACAATCCATTCATAGTCTTCTACGTCACTGTTATTGTTCCACACCATGAACCGAATCATCTTCGGTCTTTCATTCTCTAACTAGAGCATCTTTCTTTTTCTCTTCAGACACATACAGTCATGTAGATCAAATGACTTGTGACTTCTGCCACTACGATAGTCGCTTTGAATTCAATTTACAGTAAACTTGCTAAGTATATGGTTGAAGTACAGACCCATCGTAACACTCATCATTGCAGCACTTGGTATTCCGTCATTGTGTCGTTGGAAATACAACTCCAGGCTATACACTTCAAGTACAGTTGTTCTATGCCTGTGCGTGTGCGTGTGTGTGTGTGTGTGTGTGTGTGCGTGTGCGTGTGCGTGTGTGTGTGTGTGTGTGTGTGTGCGTGCGTGTGTGTGTGTGTGTGTGTGTGTGTGTGTGTGTGTGTGTGTGTGTGTGTGTGTGTGTGGAAGTGCGGGCTGGGCAGGTGATCATGCAGCTATGATTCGTAAGGGACTGGATTTCATTGCATAACCGGAGAGCAATGTGAATGTTGGGATGGGGACATAGACATAGAAAAGTCAGAACTTGTGGAAAACTGGTTGTGCAGTACAATTGTTGCCCTCCTCGTTGAACGACTGTTCCTATACATGTGAATGGCACGGGTGACGTTCCTGCCATAGTCATGTCCACACTCCTTCCGCCTCCGCCCCTTCAAGGCTTGCTTCCCCGAAATAGCCATGACGTAGGTGTGGCAATCCAAGAGAGGGTTTGTTTTGTGATGATTAAACAAGTCTGATCCCAACACAGAGAATCAGACTGAGATGTTATAACAATCATAGTCTTGCTCAATGGTAACGTACCTCTTACCGACGACTCTGCTTCATCTCCATATTATCTACTGTTAGTATAATTGTATCATTGAAAGATAGGTGTGCGTGGGTGACATTCTTTTGTCGTGTCTCTCAGAGATAGGCGTAGGTGACGCTCGACATGGAGATATGCCAGTGAACCGACATAACTTTGTACCTTTGATACTCACCCCAGGAAGATAATAGCATGGGGTGTCGGGCCCGTGTCATAGTATCAGTATGAGTGTTCCAACTCTTCTTCTGCTATCGAAGCAAATATTTACAGGCACATGTACTACCTCACGAGTCACAGTCACAAGGTGTTGTATAATGTATTAAGTACAGTACGTACAAGGTCGTGTTAGTTGTAGAGCTCAATGACAACAATCAGGGTAGAGCCACCATCTACAGCCACATAGTCATGTGTTTCCAAGCCTACACTATAACATTAGGTTACATGCATACTAGTACATGCGAGTCGTTAGTAGTTCAAATGCTGGAGAGAGTTGGCTCTGAGGGAGTTCAGCCTAACTTCAGGTTGTGGATCACATTCGTGCAACTACGCATACACTGTCGCTGTGTCGACGTTCATGAGTGTACATGTAAGTATTTGTCCTGGAAATGATTATTCGCGAACGGAAGTGGAATATCGGTAGAGAAGCTGACTTTAGCTCTCACCGAGCTATGATCTGATGATGATTCAGGACTTCTAGATCAAGAGCAAGAGGCAGCAGAAACACGACAGTTCAGTAATACATGTGTGGTAAATGTATACCGCTTGCCGTTGAGTGCAATGGGAAGTGTATCCTACAGAATAATTATGTATCTTGCACTCTAGCTTTACATGTTTTCACCCAATATGCAGCAACGTCGAATAGTAGAACTACAGGATAGTGTACGAAGAAGAAAACACCACACAATCAGCAGTGCATTATTGCCGTGGACGGAACGTTGGTGCATTTTACTATTCATGCTGCAGTGCATGTATATTTCGTATTCAAGAATGTTTGATCCGATGGCAATATCGTGATCGCGAATGCTACGGATTCCAATCCAGCGCGTGTTGTCTTTCTGACCTCCTCGTCCGCTATGATGACGTTAGCCTGTTTGTGGCGCCGCCGCATCCATCAGCAGCAGTGACCACTATTTCCGTGTGGAGGAGCTTCTCATTGCTGGAGGACAATCGTAAAGACATGTTGTTCTGTGAAGTGCAAGGTACATGTGGATGTATCGTACATACACATGTAGTTGCGTCCTGAAGCAGTCCAAATTAACATTGCCAAGACCCTCGGCGAATAACGAATGACACGTGTCATTGATAAGGTTGGGTCAGACGCAGCTACATGTAGTGGTGGGTTGTTGTGCCGATTGCTGAAAGGAAAACCTGTTGCTGCCTTCAGCATCCGCACAAATCCAATACAATTTACCACGACATACTTCTATACCTCTCAGCGCCGAGGCGACTCGTGTGGTGAAGGTACGGAGGGATAACCCAGAAACCTCAGACGAACCGGGAACTAATGCACGGCCAGGCAGGGAAGATAGCAGTGTACCACACTACAACTCTAAAGATCAGTTCAGTGGATAGTGTATTCTAGGCTCCGTGTGTGGCCGTGTGTCCGTGCCACGTGGTCAGATCATCGTAGGCGTGGATAGACCCGCCTTGGTGACATGGCCACACTAACATTCATCCACCACTGCTCTAGTTTCACAGTTATTCCTTAGATGGAAGGGACGCGAGGCCGATATATCGGTGTTAGTCTTGCTGCTGGCTTATTCAGGTTCATTTGTCGGTGTATGGCGTAGCGAGCAGCACCGAACGCCTATCTCCTCAGCGGCCTTAAACACCGTGCTCTTCACAAGGTGGACTGCTCAGATGAATAATTCAGCGTTCTCGACATACCGCCGCGGCCTGGCTGCTGCTTTATCAGCCTGCGAGATTGTACCCGCACTCCAAGTGGCGGTGCGCCCAGGCCTGGTTCCATGCGATCCTTTTTGCGGCCAGATACTGAGATAGCATTGGTATCAGTTTTCTATTCTTCTGGTCACATGGACTACACCATACATTGCAGTGCTAGTGAGGCGCGGTGACACTTGGCATGTTCCGAGCGAAAGGAATGAGTTGAAGGCGTCCAAGTAAACATCAGGCGCGCCAGATGTGTGCTTGTACGGGTGTTGTGTGCGATCTGACGCATGGCCATGCCATTGGGGGTTACATTCTTTCGAGATAGGAAGAGAGGGAGGGGGGGGGGGGGAGAGCGAGCAAGGCCCAGGCAGCATTTCACAGGCCTGCCGTATGCGCACCCTCATCCAAACTATAGCCAGTATAGGCCTACCAACACCCCCACGCACATGGGAGAGGGAGTACGCAAAGCCTCTGTGGGAGAGGGAGTATAAAATCCCATCAACCCTTGTTGTCCTAGACAGAACTCTGAGACTCGCCTTTCGACGAACTAGCAAAGTTTCATTGCTGACTAAAGGCCTTGTGTATCACAAGTTGTTCTGAACGCGTCCAGTGCAAAGAAGGAAAGATGAAGGTAACAGTATTCCTCGCAATGTGCCTGTGTCTAGTGGCAGTGGGACTGCAAGTCAATGGTAAAAGTCTAGTGCGAAAACAAGATGCCAGCAGCGACGACTCCATGTCGAACAGTGACTCCGATAGCGACTCCAGCTCCTCGGACAGCAGCTCGGGTGATTCCGACAGTGACAGCGAGGATACTGCCCAGGGTGATGACAGTGACGACGGAAGTGGCTCTGATGACAGTGAGGACTCCAGCGACGAGACAGCTACAGGCCAAGCGGTGATGCGAGCGCAGCAGGCTCGAGTACAGACGCCAGCTCCAGCGCAACTCGTCACGGACACGGACATGCCAATGGGACCCACTGACGCTGACAAGGATGCACCAGGAAATGACCCTGGCATGCAAGGCGGTGATGTGGGAGCCGACCCTCCCACCCCCAATTTCTAAGCCGCATGTTGGTGGGGCGATAACAGCGTGGATAAACGTACTGGTCCGCAAGCAAATAACGCGCCATGGTGTGGTCCTTATTCCGGGGAGACAGTACAAGACGGAATCACGCTAAGCTCTTCACCATTCACACGAAGATGAAGAGACGAGTGACAGCGTTCTCCTGTGTAAGCACCTGCTAAACCAGGCAACAAAACCGGTTCTACTGATATGTTCGAAATGTTCTGTTGCCTTTTCAAATTATTACGTGATTCTATAACATCTGTGTAATTCTATAACAGCTCTATCTCCTATTCAGTATGGATAGTTTGAATGCATGGCACATGGTTTAATAATTATTATTATTATGCTCTACTTATTTTAGTACTTTCCTTTACTTAGAAGTACGAAGATTATTGCGATAGAACAACCCATGCATGTATATGTAGTTGATATGCACTGGAGGCTCTTGGCCTTGGTCAGGCTGACAGATTTAAGATAATTTATCTGAGTTCCCATTCTTCTGATTCTCATTCTATCAAACACGACAAGATGAAAAGAAATTTTAAAAAGGTCAAGTTCCATTTTGATACCGTTCTGCTCTGCACTGTCTCATTCCACTGACAGTTGAAAAAAAAGGACTTGCTAGGATATGAACTCCAGTGCGAAATCCTGGCTTCCGAGAAGATTGCTGCAGCTGTGCCATTACCGGCTCAAAGAGTCCACAATCCGGGGGTTAGCGTTTTAGACAGCCTCGGGTCTTGGTATCCTCATGCTGCCACACATACACCATGTACACTGTACATGTACATGTACTGTGCTCAATGTACTGGAGGGCACTGTAGTGGGTAGAGCCCATACTTTTTATCGCCTGGGTCCGGCTACCACTGAATAGTAGATGAAAGCAGTTACGCCAGTTTTCAGCGAGGCAGCGTCATAATTGTATTTGACGAGGACGACAGGAGATATTATTATCAGAATTGTGAAAGGGCATCACATGCTGTATTTGCACTTTTTGAAGGATGCATGGTGGCTTCATGCTTCGTACATCATTTTATCCGTCCAGAAGCATGCATGCAGCAGTGGCCGCGTGGAGACAAAAATATCCGAGGCGTGCAGAGCAGGGAGCCCTTCAGGTATGTGTAGGGCTCCCTGTGCAGAAGCTCACAAAGGCTTGCAAAGAAACAAAAGTGTAATCTAGGTGCAATGGTGGACTTCGGGGAGTGTTGAAGGAGGGCGGTGGATGGGAAGAGATAAATGATGAATGGAGGTGTCGATGAAGCAAAACACACATTGAGGATGGGAACTGCACAATTATTTACAACCTACAGTGTAAGCTAGTAAATGGCAACAACCGTCATCACGTGACATTAATCAAAGCTCTGGTTAGAATTATTTGAAGTCGTTTCTCCGAGGAGTGGAAGTGGAAGGCTGTAGTCTGTTCTCGTATCTTCTGCGCCTGCACGCTACGTCACAGACAAATTCTCAAAAATATGAAATGTAGTTTGTGAACATCACCTGCACGGCATAACAACTTTTTTAAATAACGTTAGACGAAATACATAGTAATACTTGTACCTTAAAGTACATGCACTCAACTTGCTACTGCATTCTCGTCTGAGCTCTGCCCTCGAAAAAGTATTGATCCGACTGGCATGGCAGCTACGCTGGGCGCCGTGACACAACTTCTTCATTCTCTCTCTCTCTCTCTCTCTCTCTCTCTCTCTCTCTCTCTCTCTCTCTCTCTCTCTCTCTCTCTCTCTCTCTCTCTCTCTCTCTCTCACACACACACACACACACACACACACACACACGCGCGCGCGCGCACACACACGCACAAGCACGGCTCAATTTAATTAAACCCTGACAGTAGATGCAGGTAGAACATTCACAGCAATCATCCCCCCCCCCCCCCCCCCCACACACACACACACCACCCCCCCCCCCTCCCCACACCCCCTCCCCCCCCCCACACACACCACACACCATACACCCTTCCCCATTCCACATTATCCTGGATCCTGATTGGCATGCAATGCAATAGTCGCTGCAGCATGCATGTTAGCCAGGCATTGTGGATTGTTGCCAATGTTGGCTAAATGGGGCTTTGTGCCAATGGTTGACTCAACAAGTACCTCACAGGCCACAGCGAGGAATATGACACTGCGCTGGTCTGCAAGACATGCAGTCCGCACGGCTGAACGAACCGCTACAACTACAAGTTCACCTTACAAGGAGCAGATAATACCTGACGACTATCGGTATCAAGTTAGGTATCAGACAGTTTCAGCAGTATAGTATTGTGTGCATCACCACATGGAAGGCTGATCGGCGGAGAAAACACAGATGATATGTAGCCAGACCAGGGAGTCGCACAAACGTTGAGAAACCATGTTGGCTTTGAGCGACTCCGTGATCAGAGCTCATACTCAGTCAGAGCTACGTTTTGTCAAGTAGACTGGTACAGAGACTGCCAGTGCTAGTGCCAGTAGATCTACAGCAGTACAGGCCAGTGAATTGCATCTACGCGGTTTTACCTTGGACGTTGTGCGAATGTTGGGGCCTTCGCAGGCTCCGGTGCTGGCGTTCGGCACAGCCGCTGGCTGCTTGTGTCAGTGAGTAACAAGAACTGACGCAGCTCAGGGTAGCGAGAGATTGCTGGTGGCAAGTTATTTTCTGGTACAACTTACAAGTACCATGTACATGTACATGTACCAGCAGTAGTAGGTGGTAGTGAAGGCGAACAGTAAATGTACAACTTGTTCCAGGCAGCTTACATCAACTCCCTTCTTTGCTGGTGACTCCTCAAGGAATGCTAGCCACCTGTAGTCCGTATTATACGTTACAGTTACAAGTGCTGGCCGTCCTTCACTTCACTACTTGTATCTCCATTCTGTTGGTTTACGTTCAGTTATTGACAGCCATACCTGAACTCTCCATGATTATCCGATTCCAACATCACAGCTTGCGAGCGTTTCCCAAAAAAAGAATTTTTGATCCACGTTTTGAAGTACAATGGGCATGTACATGTACAAGACATGAGGGAATAGATCTACATGTGGTTGTGCAGGATATACAAAGGTAAACCTACATGTATGTCATGCTGTCGTGCCAAGTCGATCTACAACTATAAGTGTTGTATTGTACCGCGAAGGCACATTGAATAGACGTCACGTGGTTCGCATTTTGCCGTTGTTGTATAACCGTTTCGTTCTCCCGTTAAACAAAGCTTTCTATCGTCGAAACGATACCAAACCGACGGTATTTTGGGTGCTGGGTACGAGTACTGTAGGATTTAGCGTGAACGGTAAAATGCTAACCATGTCTAATAAGTCTATCATGAGACTACATGACAAGTACATTGTACTTGTAATCAAGTTAGTTATACAATGGACATGACAATTGACATGCTATCCAGCTGGAAGTGTCTGCATCCCAGATTGTCCAGTGTTGAATATTTTCTAAAGAAGTAAAGTTCACACATCCGCACTACAACTGGCATTATTTATTTATTTATTTTATTCCAAGCAATACATGGCTGGGGTAGCCAATGACCACTTTGCGTGGCGATTGCAGGGTTTTTATAGCCAACCACGGCTTTGCCTTGCAATGTTGCATGTTGAGAAGCAAAAGTAGCGCAGGAAGTTTCGATTGTACAATTACTGAATTAAATCCTTTGCAGACCACCGCCATGACAGAGATAACACGGTAGGAGATGTACATGGACGAGCACCTGGCGAAGGGTGAGGATGAAGGCTCATATTAAAACAAGTGCCCGACAGGGGACCTCGTTAGCTGCATCCATTGTTGTGCATTCAACTCTATTCATTGCCTTCCAATTAAATGGCAGCAGCCAATATAGCTGGCAGTGGGGCGTTTGCCAACCATGGCAAAAAGAGAAGAGAAGGAAGACGGACTAAGAATACACCTGAAGTGGGAAAAGGTCACACCAACAATGACACCATAGCACAAGCACAATCTACCCGTTTAGTATACCGATTGTAAGGTACATGTAGATAATGTGTACATGTATTGCAGGTTGTGAATGGCAGGTACAGCATATTATATGGCGGGCGGTAACGCGAACGTGTGAGCTTTACCCTTTTTACACCGATTTTTTGAAGTACTTTTGTCGTGTACATGTAACTCCGAAAGTGTTTTGACAAATTTTGAACATGAAAGCAGGATGGCAGTGGAGGTTGTAACAGGACAGGCCGTGGCTAGTACGTGTAATGTTGTGATCACAAGTTCTTATACTGTGAGTGCTTGCACTGACAGTCAGTCGTGTGGACAGTCTGTCATGTCGACCTACATGTACCTTCTACAGTAACAAGTAAGCACCGGGCTGGCGAGCCTGAAGAACTGCTGGCCAAGTGCAGGCTTCTTCCTTCAACGAAGCTGTACAGGAAGTAAAACCACCTCAGATTTCGCGTACACAAAGGCAATATCCGCTCGCACAAGGACAGGGATTTCATCAGCTTGTCGCCCAGGTTATGTAGTATTCGTATTCGGGACAGACAATCTACATGTACACGTTGTTCATCTTTTACAAACGCCGCTACTGAATGTACACGTAGATAATCTTTCAGAGAGCAACGAGACCACAAAACAAATATACATTGGTGAATTAAGTACTCTGATGGCGAGCGAAGAAAATATTAATGGAAACATGGAAAACGGTGGGGCACAAGTCATGCGTTAGAGTCCACCAACTAAACCAGATTTTGAGCCGTCAGACGTGCACAAGGTAGCACCAGACTGACAAGGAGTACTGAGATATTCTACGGCAAGGAAGTGACCCCCAGTGAACCCTCCAAGTTGGACAGCCGTTGGTTAGCGTTGAAGATGGCACAAAGAATTATTTAGCCGTTGGTTAGCCCTATCGTGCAGTGCTTAAGCTCACTTCCTTCATTCCTTGCCGTGGAATGTCTCAGTACTCCTTGTTAGTCTGCTGCTACCTTGTGCACGTCTGACTGCTCAAAATCTGGTTTAGTTGGTGGACTGTAACGCATAACTTGTGCCCCATCGATGTAAAAAAGAATAATGTGAAGAAGAGGTTGGTGCGACCTCGGCGATACTTGGGGAATTGTGTGTTGCTCCCTATGGTGGGAGCTCGCGCTTTTCCTAAATTCTCACTTGACTGACTGACGACTGCCATCCAGAGCACACGAGAAGTCCATCGAACCTTCCACTCGGCAAACCTGCCAGAAAGCACCACTCCCTGCTCAATACACAGTGTTTCGGCACACAATTCCCTAAAAAAAGAATCACATGAAAGAACGTGAAGCCGCTCTAATCCTTTATTGCCATTTCCCCAGCAGTTGCAGCTGTCCAACAGGAGAACGTGCGTTTTAACCCACGTTCTCCTATAGTACTGGACAGCTAATAACATGCGAAACAAAGTAGCTTTTGCTATAAATGCTAACCACTCTGGGCATGCAGCAAGTTCCAACCCAGAAAGGATAGTGATTATGTGGATCATGCACTATTGCCACGTCATGACTCATGCAAGCAACAAAGCTATTATTGTATAAAGGTCACTGCAATGGAGGAGTACACAATGTACTCCTCCATTGGT